GATGATGATGATGATGATGATGATGATGATGATGATGATGATGATGATGATGATGATGATGATGATGATGATGATGATGATGATGATGATGATGATGATGATGATGATGATGATGATGATGATGATGATGATGATGATGATGATGATGATGATGATGATGATGATGATGATGATGATGATGATGATGATGATGATGATGATGATGATGATGATGATGATGATGATGATGATGATGATGATGATGATGATGATGATGATGATGATGATGATGATGATGATGATGATGATGATGATGATGATGATGATGATGATGATGATGATGATGATGATGATGATGATGATGATGATGATGATGATGATGATGATGATGATGATGATGATGATGATGATAATGATAATAATGATAAACAATAACAACAATTATACGCGAACGTTTTATTTTCTAATCTGCATTTGAATCGTGCCTAAATTTATCGCCATACGAGAACTTAAGTATACGAGTAAAAAATTATTAATGTACTATAAATGTGTGTGGCCAGCTAGTGTAATATCGTTACCGTTAAGTACTCGGAATTCTAATTTAAAGTTTAATACAAAGAGAGTTTTATGTCTATGCTCGCGATACTTTCATTGCTTAACAATTAAAAAAGTACTTTGTCTAATAGCGTATTATTTGTTAACATCTGTCCTCTCGCCAACATTTAACAATTATTACAGAAAGAAGGAGAACGATTTGTTTTATAATGATACTATTGTTTCAGAATTCTCATGTAAAAATATTTTCATATTAAACTCTATCTAAAATGTATGTTTATTCATTCAATTTTGAACATAAGTTGAATTATTATTATCATTTGAAAATCGTTAAACACATTCGTTTCTGGTTAATGTAATTTAATTATAATTTGGGATAAAAGAATTATGATGACTATTTATTTAATTTTATATTATTAAACATATATTAAATAAATTTAAATTCAATATATGCCAAGTATTATCTTATCTTGGACAAATTGTATCCACTAGTGTTCAGTTGTAAGGTATGCAAGTTGTATATTTATAAAAAGAATGTTAACATTTGTAAAATATATTCGGTAGAAAATATAGTCGGTTAATGTGACTTTATATAAATAATTGGTAATATGCGTATAGATTATATAAATTTTATATCCACTCACAAAAATGGATAGATCATTGATATTTCAAAGATAATTTATATCTGAATATTATCCACGCTGAAAATATAATTGTTAATTAATGCAAATTGTTAGCACTGAGTATTTTTACATGATAGATTGTACATAATTTCTGTTCTTTTAACAACAGATTTAAAATATAATCTATAATGTATTTAACGTTAAAACTATTTACAACTTCATTATCTAACACTTTATACGAAAAAAATTAATATTGATAATTTTGATTGCATTTCACATTTTAAGCGAAACTGTATCATAAATAATAGACATATTCAATTAAAATGTAATGTAAAACTATACTTTCAAAACATAATTGCAAAACCTTTTATATTGTATTGCAAATATTGTATTGCAATTGCTGCCTTTTGTATGAATTTTGTATATCTTTTGAATGCCTTTTGTATTGCAAATATTAAATTTGTAATTGCAATATTATATATATATATATATATATATATATATATATATGTATCATTCAATGATAATTTTTACTTTTAATAACAAAACACTTGTTTATAAAGAAACAAAAGTAACTATGCATACTGACAAATATCGAAGGAAATTACAAAGTTTTTTACGGTATAATTTTTTCTATAATAATATCTAATGGTACTGCAGATATACATACATTTGCATATATATTAAATGATGTTTGATCGTGTGTGTATGTAGCTAGTAAAAGAGAGAGAGAGAGAGAGAGCGCGAATATGTGTGCATGCACGCATGCGGGCAAAATATTCTATAGATCATTGAAAAATGGCACTAGAATTTACTTTTCGTTACTATTCTTCTTTAAAAAAAAAAAAAACAATAATCTCTTAAAGATCTCTACATAATAAAGTACTAGTTATACTTTTTTTTTCAAACAAACTAGTATAAATATAGTATTATTGTAATTTGATAAAAAATAATAATACATTATAGAATAATCTTTATAAGGTTATTTTACTATCAAATTTAGAAGTCATTGTCAACATAATATATGACTTACTAATTAATTAATATTTTAATCATTTGTTCATGTATTGGTAAATGTTGATAACGATGCGGTAAGGTTAGACTTATTGTAACAAGTTGATAGCAAAGACATGAATCATCTATTGTTTTCCTCATTCAAGAAAAGAAAAAAGATATTTATATCTAAATATCTGTATATATATATATATATATATATATATATATATATATATTTATATAACTGACCAACTGAATTTGCTTGTCACTTATAAAGAACAACTAACATTATAACCGTATGATTAGCAATATTATTCAATAGCACGATGAATGAAGAAATGTCTTGTAGTTTTGCCGTAAGGAAATATTTATTTAATTTTCTTTTTTTTCAATGCATAGTTCTAAACAGATTAATTTTTTCTTATATGTTTTCAAGTATATTAATAGAAAACGTATTATCAATGTGCGTTAAAAAATCAGATAACGATGAGCCCTGAATAAATACAAATGAACGAGTGCATGTTAGAATTTTTGTTCACGGTTGGATTGATTTTATTTTAGACGAAGATAAAGTTTATTTTGAAAGAAATGTCAATAGCAATAATATTTCGTGATGGTATTTTATAAATTAATACTGACGCACAAATAGTAATTATCACAGAAGATGAAATATATACGACACTTTACTTTGATAACGACTTGTTAAATAACATTTGTTGTATTTTGATTTTACTTCTTTTTTCAGTTTTTAAACAAATTTAATAATGCATTATTGAATAATTAATATATAATAAGACATTAGAAAATATATAATTAGATAAAATTACAGAGAAAGTTGTCGAATGAATTGTAGACAATGGAATTTATTTATAGTTAAAATTTTGCTCTTAAAAGTTTAAAATTTTGCTTGCGAAAGCATCCGTTCATTCTAAAAATATATTCGAAAAATATTATTTTATTAAAATGAAAAAAAAAAGAAAGAAAGAAAAGATTTTTTATGATTTAATTGACTTAGTTTCATTAAGTAACAAATATTCAATTAAATAAAATTAGATAAATCTCGAGTAGCACTAAATGTTTTTCAGTGCTTAAAGTACACTTGAATATTGTGAACTAAATAAAAATTCTTTTAGAAATTGCCGTTTCTGTGTGTGTGTGTGTTTGTGTGTGTGTGTGTGTGTTTGTGTGTGTGTGGAAAATACAAAGTTTATTAAAATACGCGTAGTCTTTAAAATTTCGGAAGAATACGCTACTGTTTCTTGCATTAACCACTTTGAATGCAATTACTAACAGTTCTTAAGCAAGAGTTAAGCAACCGTATATAAAATATTTTTAGTGAGATGCGAAAATGAGCTTTTTAAAATTAAGCTTTTCAATAAAAGTAAAATCCCTTCGTTGCAATTTATTTCGGGACGAAAGATATACAAACGTTAATTCTTAACATATTTTTACATTAAATAAATGTAAGCTTTCGGTTCGGAAGAATTCGAAGCAAAGCCGAAAGGATGAAAATAATTTCTGTCGAATGAAATAATGTAATTAGCGTATGGTGAGACTATTTATTGTATTATAAGATTTCCCATAATGAATTGATATTAATTGCCTGTTATCTGGTAAATTAGTTTTTTTTTTTTTTTTTTTTTTAAAAAGATTTCTATGATAATAATTTCAATACGTGTAGGTATTTTCTTCGTTACATTAATTGCAGAGAATGTATAAATTTTCTTAATTTTAATTAAGGAAGCATATGCGCGCGTGACCAATATGCCTTTTATCATTTATGGAATCAAACTTGTGCACTAAAAGTTATAATTTAATAGAGTTTGATAGCGTTTAATCATTTAAAGTGATAAGTTTAATGCGCCAGAAGGATAAATAAATTGGTATTTCGTTAATCGTTTATACTTTTATTATTCAATAAAATAACAATATTCCTATCGTTAAATTCTGGACAAAAGTTGAAAGTAATTTTCATTGTATTGAGATGTGCCGCTCGATCATTGATTCGAATGTCTTATTAAACGAAAGAGAAAAAAAAATGTTCAAGCTACGAATGAAATTGTCGATTGATAAGTATCGTAGCTTCTTTAAACGATGTAATTAATTGGAAATGCTAATTTGCCGTTAACTTGAATATTACGAAAATGCAAATTTGCCTGAAAAATAGAAAATTCAAGCTCTTCGAAGCATCGATCTACCAAGACGTGTCGTATGAAAATTAATTCGTTCGTTTATCTCCTGGAAATAATTTCCTTTTATCCCAAGCCACATTTTCGTCGCTTTGCTTACAGTCTTAAAACATATTTATCCCATTTTCGTCGATAGCCCTAGAAAACCAAGTGGCACCCATTATTCTTATCAATCGATAATATATTCCGCTACGCCTCGATATTCTTTACGTCCAGTTTTTCTGGATCTTAATATGAAATAATAGACTTTCATCACTTGCCGATCAGCGCTGTCAGCAGGTCATCTTGTCGAAATTCCGATTGTTAGAATTTCGATAGCTAATCCGTAATTATCAGCTCTCGTGTCGCGATGCTCGAAAATATACGCCCGATCGCATGCTTTATCGCCCGAGCATTGACATTTGCAATTTCGACAAGGCGAATTCATTATTAAAGACAGCGGGCCGTTGGACAATCGGGCCGCTAAACAAACGCTAAAACATAAGAAACGAGTGACATACGACAAGTGCCGATTGTTTATGCACCGTCCAAGTTAGCGGCTTAAGGAGGTGCCGCCTCGCTTAGGCGATCGATCCACCCTTATCACTGGCTGGACGAAGCGAGTCGTGGCGGTGCTCGAGGCGTTGCACGCGGTGCCGAGGTCGACATCGAGGAGCGCTAATAAGTGGTGGCTGTGCTTGTGTGTTGGCAGTTCGTGAGGCCGGTGTGGCGCGCGTGGGGCGGGAGGCAGGTGCCGTTGGCGCGCCGACGCCGGCGGCGCCCGACGTCTGGCCGTCCACGAGGGAGAGCCGAGACCACGGGAGCCCCAGTCATGGTTACGGTGTCACGTGGATGCGATGACTGTGGCCGCAGCCGTGGCCGCTCCGTGGCACCGGGCCCACGTCTATAAGGCTATCGCCTGCATCGTCTTCGTGCTCATCGCCCTGCAGTACCTCAGCGGAGCCTTCGACCGCCGATCGATCGAGACGATATTCGCCATCAACACTAGTCGGTCAGTATGCGCTGCCCGATCCTTGCCCAAAGCCTCGTGCGACTATTGGCTTTGGGATTGGTGAAGGAGCTGGTGGAAGGGACGCGGGCACCAGGTGCGTGTCTTTGTCTCGTAATCCCGGGGAGAGAACGATGCTTTATTGGCAGGCGATCTACGATTGCGAATATATTCCCTTCCTCCTTATTTCGTCGCCCATTGCGACATAATTATACTAGGTTCGAGCCATTGGTGCGCTCGTTGATGATAAAAGTAGTTAACGAAAGAGAAAAACGAAAGTGAAAAAATGTAATACTTTAAACATCGTCGATTGAAAAGCAAATTTACGCTTTATATGTTCGAAAAATATATATTACACTCGAAGCCAATGGCTGGATATTTGCCGATTGCATTCGAGGTTTTCTTTTTTTTTTTCGTTTTACTTTTTTTCCCCTCCAGTTAGTTACAGTCGCCTGAGAATTACATTTGTAATCTCTAAGATTTGAGTTAAATATCGATGAAATACGTTTTATTACCTATCGTAAGCTGCTATCGGGAACTCGGAACAGAAATATTTTGACAATAAAGAAAATCCCTACCCTCTACCTATCGATGTCAAGATATATAGATTTTCAAAGATTTAAATCATTCGTTGACGATAGTATTGTACTTTATTCCGTTTCTTTCTTTCTTGTATTATTATTATTGTTGTTGTTGTTGTTGTTGTTGTTGTTGTTGTTGTTGTTGTTGTTGTTGTCGTTGCTGTTGTTGGGGTTGTTATCATTATTTTCATTAATCCTTTAATGGCCCAAAAGACATGGAAATTTTAGGAAACAGTAAAACAAAAAACAAAAAACGAAAAAAAAACAAAAAACAAAAACAATAAAGAGGGCAATAACAATAATTCATAGCTAGTTTGTTTACTACGGAGTGGAAAAAATTTTATATACACCATAATCGATAATTCATTCTGTTCAATAATTGACGCGCAGTAAAAACGTCTATTTGATAATATAATAATTAAATTCACTTTTTAAATACATTAGTATTAAAAGTCTTCTTAACAAATATGTTCAGTAAATAATGGGTTAATGGCTTTTGTAAATCAATTTATTTATTTCACGCGTGTAGTAAACTTTGAATTGGAACTATAATAAACTGCTAGTGGGCAGACGTTGATTTTACCTTATCGTATTCCAACAGCTGGAGTTACTATTTTCTTAGCTGTATTATAAATATATTATTGTTAAATTCTCTTTGAAGTAATAGCAGAGGAAAATGTTATTTTACAATATGAACAAGTGCAAAATTAGCATTTTTACTAAAACTTGAGAATTTAAAATAATCTCAAATCATTCCGTTAATTTCCATAATTTACATTATAAATGGATATAAGAATAACGTCTAATGATATAAAAATAATCTTAATTAATATTAAGTACTAAAGTAAATTACATATAAGTATATATATATATATATATATATATTTATTTATTTATTTATTTGTTTATTTAAAGTATATATGAAAAGCTAGTTCATTGAGTACATTATTAATAATTATACAAAAATTTTTTGCAAAAGGTGTAGTACCAGGAATTCTATTATATAATGTATAAATTGTATTACCGTACATCCCAACAACAACAACAACAACAAAAACAACAACAACAATGACAATAAATATCTTGGAATATTTGTAAGAAAACTTTTTCAGTATTGACTAATACTGTATCTTAAAATCTTATATATTAGAGTATAATGAGGTCATGACTATCCCCTATTAAATGTAGCTTTGGAAGGTGATAACTTTGTTACATTAAGAGACTAGACATTTCTATTAAAATATATCGAAGATATTAAATTATACGATTAATAAAATAAAAACGTTTAATTTATTGATATTATTATATCTTACGTATCTTTTAGTTTTTTTTTCTATTCTCAATAATATTTAAAAAAAAAAACAAAAAAAAAAAAAAAAAAAAAAAAAACAAAAAAAAACAAAAAAAAAAAAAAAACTATTACTCTGCAATCACAAGATTTTCCACTTTCATTTAGAATTACGCTCGATTGAAAAATATAAGTGACACGCGTTATTTAATAATAAATGTGAATTTCATCAGGAGCAAAATTTTACAATTCTAAAAGCACAAATATTTTTGCACAAGAAATTTAACATATTAATCGTTAAAATATTAATTCTTCTTAAAGGCGTATCTCACGAGTAATTTAATAATTTTCAAATTCAGAATAATTCCACGCTCAACTACAGTTGCAAATTTTGTCTTATAATTTATGAAGCTGCGAGTCCTTTTAATGTACAACAATTATTTTTTTTAAGCTAAACTATCCAAGGTCACAAAGACAGCATGATCAGATTGTTTCATTTTCTTGTTTCACGTCCGCAAATCCAATGAAATACATGTTATAAGAAAATCTAAATTACAATATGCGATTTGAAAGAGGAACAAAGACAATACAATATTTTAAAATATTAATGAAAATTTTATATGAAAATTTTTAATATATAGAAGAAGTATATGTTCTCTCACTCAACAAGATCTTACATAACAGACAATTTGCCAATTGTGTAAAAACGTTAAAGATTAAGAAATTTTGTATTAGACGGCTAATAATGAATGATATCGGAGATTTATAGGCCATTTTAAACTGTAAAATTACAATGTCAACCTGGCAAAGAAAAACAAAAAACAAAAAAGAAATGCAAAAAATAATAATAAATAAAATGTATTAATAAACATTTGAATTTTATGCATTTGCAAGGTAAATGAAAAAAAAAAAAAAAAAAAAAGAAAAAAAAGAAAAAAAAGAAAAGAAATTAACAATATTGAAATGGATTAGTTATAACTTAGTTTCAGCAGTTATAAATATTAACAGTTATTTTGTAGTAATTTAAGACATTAGCGATTTATTTTTAAGTTGTTGGTACAAATAGTCGGTAATAGCATAATGTATTAAAACAATATTTGACAACCTACAGTTAATTAAATTTATAGTCAATTATAGTACACGATTAGTGCTGCCGTCGTAAATACAATTACTTTATAAAATTTTAAATGTGGTTGCATGAAAAATGCGAAAAGTTTGTCATTTTTTCATTGTTATTTATTTTATGTAAATCAATAATTGTAAATTTGGACAATAAGAATTTGTAGCGATTGAAATATAATTCACAATATAAATTTTCCATTTACATTTGTAAGTTTTTTTTTTTTTTTTATTTAATAGATTATTAGCAAATTGACACAAGAGTAACATTTTATAACATTTACTTTTGTTTTTGCATTTATATGGAATTTTTTACAAAAAGATTTTGCAATAAAGCTGTGACGCCCTTTTTCTGTAATTACGTTTAGACTGTGAACACGTATCTGGAAATATTTTCTAACATATTTATGTAAGAATACAGTTGTCTCTCGCTTGACACTTTCGTATAAAATATTGATGCAATTATATAAATATTAAATATTCGTTTTAACGATTTAATTATTGCACGCGTCATTAATTCGATGCAATTTTGTTTTATTTGGTATCTCGAAATATACGATTATGATGTGATATATTTTATTTTAATTACGTATTTCTTTACGAAAATACATTCATTACAAAAGTACATACATTTTTAAGATGTAAATTTCCAATCTGTCATTGCAATTATATTTGAATGTGAAAATATACGGTTTTGTTTATTTATAATTATTTCCAACGTAGAATAATGACATAATTGTGCAATAAAATAATAATAAAAAAAGCTTATAAAATAATAGAATTAAAAGTTACAAAAATTCTTTTATTACCTTAACGATTATTTATATTTTATTAGTTTTTTATATAATGAAAATGACGAACTAAGGCGTGTATTTATGAAGTATTTATTATTTCTATTAAATATTAATTACCAGCATAACTAAATAGTCATTAAAATTGATACACAAAATTCACATTAACTTGGATACTATTCTAATAAATCATTAAGAAAACAATAATTTCTTAAGGAAAAATTTCGTCCAATAAAGGAAATTTACATCTTAAACGTACAGCGTAGTTGTAAGCAAAAAAGAATATATTTTAGGTCGTTATTATCGGCAAAATAGGAAAAATACCAACGTGCACGTCTTGTATAATATCGATTGACTACATTATATGAAAATAATATAGAAAATATATAATTTAAAGAGCATCGATGTCCAATAGCAGTACGCTTTAAGTAAATAAGTCTCGCTAGATGAAAAGTCTGGAATAGATAAAAGACGGAAACAAGTCGCGAATTCGAGCATTATGTGGGGAAAAAAAAAAAAAAAAAAAAAAAATTATTATAGGGGCGGCAGCTGGTTGAAGCTGGCCAATACGAGTATTTGGTCGCTCGTAGAGTCAAGTACGGCATCGTGACAAAACAACAAAACAACAAAACAACAAAACAACAAAACAACAAAACAACAAAACAACAAAACAAAACAAACAACAAAACAACAAAACAACAAAACAAAACAAAACGATATAATTCATACGAGGATAAAAACAGTTTGTCTTTATGGTATTGTTACGTTGCGTGTCGCAGACCGCCACCTCAGCGGGCCTTCGTAATATACGGACCAGCGACGGCAACGAGCGTCGACGAGGTGGAAGACGAGGTCCCGGGTAGCGACGGCAGTGTCGCCCCCGTTGTGAATTCGAGCAACGCAAACCTCCTCAGCACCCTTACGCCCGTTGGCAATTATTCCTCTACGGGACCGAGGGACAATTCATCCTTGGTGATGATATTCCAGCAGCAGCAGCAACAGCAACAGCAACAGCAACAGCAGGAGGACGTGGCCCTACGAATAAGGAATACGAGCGCTTCCTCAACGACATCGCCAATCCTCGAGGCCCCGACGCCTCACGACCTTAATCGCTGCCCGCTAGTACCGCCGAATCTAGGTAATAATAATAATAATTCACCTGTTTCTCTATTATCGACACTGCCGCCTCAATCACAGTGTCGTTTATTCTTCGGCTACGTGCTTGGCTCGCACTATTGCCTACTCGACCCATACATTTAAAATCATTTAACATCATTTAAAGTCATTTAAGATCGTCGGCGAAATTAACAAATCGCCAGCCGAGCGTTCGATTCTAATGTTGAAAATATTGTAAGTAACGTACTGCAGGCCGATGGTTATGAATTGTCAACCTGTTACTCCAGGATTTCCTCGAAGAATTTCTGATCCCGCAAATTGCCTGGAACTTATATTAGTACGGTCTTGCCTTAATAAGACGTACATGTTTTCTCTCTCTCTCTCTCTCTCTCTCTCTCTCCCTCTCTCTCTCTCTCTCTCTCTTTCTTTTATATGTCCATACAGGATTTTTACCAATAAAGTACAAGCTAATGGGCGATTGTTTTTCGTTAATAAAGATATTTCATCGATCAGCATTGATACGGATTTTTCAAATTTTCTTAAAAAACATGTATTTATTTCATGCGCTTTCAAGCTCAATGTTCAAGGTCGATTTATCGTTCAACAAAATACTCATTCAAATGAAATTAATTTCTTTGATCAAAATCATTTATCAATCATTTATTATTACATGACCATGCCCGTCATTATTCATCATTTCAAACAAACAAACAAACAATAATAAATAAATCAATTTTCATCAGTTCTATAATTTGCCAATAAGGTTAGATATATCTTTCTTTTTCCTCATTTTCTCAATACAACATATATTACACGCTCGAAATATCGAAACCTTAAATTTTTATAAATAATAATAAAAAAAAAAATGATGTAAAAACTTTTTTCTATATGTTATTCAATACAAGATTAAATGTAAAAAAGAAAGAAGAAAATAAAACGGTAAGCAGACGTAGAGTCATCATATATATGAAAATTTTTAATAGATTTTTCCTCAATCACTGTCTTATAATAAATCTCGTACTTTTCATGTATTTGTATATGCATATTGCATTAATAGCGTTAATCCGTAAATCATTATTAAAACTTACCTAATCTAAATAAATAAATTATTAGGCATAATACGTAAAGTGTATTTGCCCGCGTAGGTGTGCTTATAGTTATTAAATTTCAGTAAATAAAATGTTAAATTGAGCGAGAATATTGTCGTTAGAGCCATTTCGGTTAATTCATTGCGCCAATGAACGTCCATCACTAAAGGAATAATTAATTGAAAAATAATTAATCAAGCAATTAAAATTTAATCTGGGAGATTGCATTAATAAGGATTAACGCGTATGAATATATAGTTTCACGCAAATATGTCGATGCAAAGTCAATATTTATTTAGTAGCTCGCTTACACGCGATATGAATGGATTCGCGGGAGAGGCGAACGAGAATGCTCGGCTCGGCATAAATCTGCGATAAAAAATTTTCGCAAATATAATTACTTCATGCGTACAGACGCCTAATGAAAAGCATTGATAATAACAACTGCGATGCCTTAATGACGAAAAAATGCCACACTCCTCGATATTCGTAATTACATAATGGATTTGCATAAAGTTTGCGAATTCTAAAGAAATTTGTTCCCCCTTCCCCCCAGGTCTTTGTAATTACGGTACGCCGGGTCGTTCGCTCGATTACGTACTTTGATCGAACGAAGCGTGCGATTCTGTTGCGGGACGCGCGACAGCTATGGGATTTCGATATTTGTCATTGGATTTTCATTGCCGGAGAAAACGATGGGAGGGCGAGTCTCTCTACCCAATCCACCTCAAACATACCCCTATCCCATCGGATACTCAGATAGTCAGGAACTAACGATTGTCAACTGTCGATTGTCAATAGTGGGCCCGATGACGGTGAGCAAAACACCCCCGGACCTCGCAGCCATGGAGCGGGCTTTCGCCAAGGTGAAGCTAGGCGGTCGGGGCTTGCCAGAGAGCTGCATCGCCCGCTATCGCGTGGCCATCGTCGTCCCCTTCCGGGACCGCTTCCAACACCTCATGACCCTGCTCTACAATCTGCACCCGATGCTGCTACGCCAGCAGATCGATTACCAGATCTTCGTCGTCGAGCAGGAGGGTAGGTGTGCTTTTTGGCTCGGACGAGTGGATGGGAGCGCCAGTGGCCCAAGTCGCTATCGGCGCTTTAAGTACTTTGCCACATTTTCCTTTTTTTTTCTTTTTTTTTTTTTTTATCTTGCGCAATGAACGAGATAACGAAATGTGGGAACAACGTCGGCTTTCGTGACTCTCCACGCCTAATCTCCGGTCTGTGCGGATAGTGTGTCTCGTGGATTGGCGGGGAGCGGAGAAGATGAGGGGCGGATATAATCGGGCACGTATAGTCTTTTTGTTCTTTTTCTTTTCTTTTCTTTTTTTATGGCGAACGACAAAGCTTGTACATTGGATTCGATAAATAAATAATGGGAGTAGGAGGAATCGTATCGCGTACAAGTGCGTAGAGTGCGATTCCTTGAAACGGCAAGAGAATGCAGTCTCGGCGAGGTCAGCCAGTCGTTACCTAAGCAAATATTTAATAAACTTTTGCTCCATAAAGAAAAAGTTTTTCCCAAATGAATTACCTTGTTATTTGTGTTTTTTTTTCTACGCAAACAATTCCTTTATTTAGCAGAGGCGCACATGCGCGTTGCGCGTACATTTTTTCTTCTTCGCAATGAATGACTCGACAATGTTAATGTGTTCGTGAAGCCATGAAGCTAATGTTAACTTTCTAAATGCTCTCATTGCTGAAATAAAGATAACGAAAATAAAAAATAATATATTTTAATGCTGTAGAATATCGGCTAGTCTGTCAATGGTCGTTTAATTTTCACATTTTAAACGGTTAAAAGAGTATATATATATATATATATATATATATATATTATTTTTTGTTTAGCGATTGCTTCTGTTATCTTTGTGTGATACCATAATCATGACAATCATAGGATGATTTAACCTTTCGATGATAAAGTAAAGTTTGCCTAATAATAAGTAAATAATTGTCACGATATCGATGTGAAAATTATCATTTATATAATGTTTATAAAAGCTCTAGCGGTCACTTGCTTCGCAATAAACCACTGGTGCAATAGTTTTAAGTCACGGATTGTTCGCGTTGAACAATGAAAAGTGCAACTATCGTGTCCAATAAAATTAACAAGGAACATTGCTTACATTTTCTGTTCAATTTTCAAAAATTGTCACCTATGGTATTTTCGATGTAAAATTCGTTGGTAAATGGTAGCACTACCATGTATTGTTAATGGCGCATCGCAAGTGTCGAATGCGAATTAATATTCCTAAGGTTCGGTCTACCTTAAATCTCACGGCCGTAACGTAACTTTTAAATAAAGAACAGAGATTAATCCAAGAAAAAGTTGTTAATCACACCGCCAAGCGTCTCCGTGAGGCCCATATTATGTAATTCGAGGGAATACATTGGAAACTCATTAGCAGTTGGCGTTTATTATTAGCAAATATAATAATGCCGAGCAGAGGGGCATGTGTCCAAGGGTGTGCGCGCGTACGCGTGCGACGTTAATTATTCGTCAAAGAGAAAAAGTAATAATCGCGGGAAAATGAGGAGGAGCCGAAGGGGGCGGATATGACGCGTTGTCTGACTGAAATTGCCAATAGCAAAAAGGAGATAAGCCGAAGAAAGTTGATATTTTTAATGCATCAAAGAGTAATTGGCTCGATCCATTCGAGCCGCGACTCGCTTCCATGAATCGGACGATGAAAGTACTATGGACATCGGCAGATTATACAAGCTCTGGCTTATAAAAAGACCGAGGCGTGAAATTATTCGTTGTCGTGCTACTGCCGTGCCCCATATGTGTACGCATATATATATATATATATATATATATATATATATATATAAACGTTGAGACAGGAATGATGTATGCATGAAAGCGCAAATACACATACGACACAATTCAGCGCGCCCCTGCGTTTTATATATAATGCCCAGGCAGAGCGAAACGAGGTAAATGTCGCCTGGGGCACAGACTTAGCGCTAATAGAGACTTATCGACCGACTTATTTTCATCCCAGGTACTTGGCAATTCAACCGGGCGATGCTCATGAACGTCGGCTATGTGGAGGCGCTGAAGGAGCGGCCGTTCGACTGCTTCGTCTTCCACGACGTGGATCTACTACCCGAGGACGACAGGAACTTGTACACGTGCCCGGAACAGCCTCGCCACATGTCAGTGGCTGTCGATAAATTCCTCTACAGGCGAGTAAATCCTTCCCATAGACGAGCGAGCGGAAACGGCGCGCTAACCCGACGTAGAAGTGGAATTTTCGTTCGATCGCTCGCGTCTCGCCCTGATGCTCTTCTGCTTATTAGCACTTTCGATTATCTCGAATCCCGCGTCGAATCCGCCTTAGCGACCGACGCAATCACCTTATCGAAGCGAAAGTTTTGTCCACCGTTATTGGTATTGACCAACAAGCAGAGCATCTGATACTTTGACGGGCGTACTTTTTTCCTTCTTTTTTTCTTCTTTTTTTTTTTTTTTTTGCAACATTGATATATTAACAAACGCTGCACATTGCGGATTTGGTTTTTAGAGAACACGCGATTCGAGCGTCCTTCGCTCCTTTGCCGATTAATTAATTGCATCGGCCCCGTAGACCACAATTCCTGCGCGCTCCATAAATTCTTCGTGAGATTATTTTTTGCGGTCGTTGTTGTAATTGTCGATGTTGATCGTGGCAGGGGCTATTGTTCCATTAATCGTCCCGCTCGTTCCATTCGGCATTTATCAATCGGAGTTTGAATTTCAAATCGCTCACGCATCTCGTTATTTCGGCTTATTTATGTATTTGACGTACGCATTGTCGCGTTTGTTCGGCGCATAAGAACGTACGCATATGTGAGGTAATTTTTAATTTTAATGGCGATTCACGTGGCCCGTAGGAAGCCTCGAATATATTATTGACCTTGTCGATCGGTCGGTCGGTCGGTCGGTCGGTCGATCGGTCAGTCGGCTATTAAATTTTTTCCGTAGCTATTAATTAGCACAGTGACATATCGAGGATATCGCGTGCTCGCCGCTATCGCTATATAACGTAAAAGGCTCGGCTGGCTCGAGCCGCCGAGCTTTTTCCACATTCACGCAGATTAATGAACAAATAATGCGCGCGCAGGCTACCGTACAACGACCTTTTCGGCGGCGTTTCCGCCATGACGACTGAGCACTTCCGTCTGGTGAATGGCTTCAGCAACGTCTTCTGGGGCTGGGGCGGCGAGGACGATGACATGGCGAACCGAATCAAGGCCCGGGGCCTCCACATCTCCCGCTACTCGGCCAATATCGCACGCTACAAGATGCTGATGCACAAGAAGGAGAAGGCGAACCCCAAGCGGTGAGTCACTCTTGGCGATCCTCGACTTCGGAGTCGCTTTTTCTACTTGGGTATTGTAGCCACGAGCCTTTTTGTCATCGCGACGATAGACTTTGTCGCACGGAAGGAAATTTCTTCAATAACCAATTCCAATCAAGGTCAAGAGAGATCGGTCTTTTATGAAAGGAATAAAAAAAAAGAAAGATAAAGAGTCTTTTGTTTTTCGAGACTTTTTTTTTTTTTTTTTTTTTTTTTTTTTTTTTTTTCCCAACAACCGACACTAAATAAAATTTCATTGTTCCGTATGCTCCTTTTACATTTAATGCGCTTTATAATTGTGGAATTGTGGGTTGAATGTGGCGCCGTTTATTAAATTATTAAATCGTTTTACCTTGGCGTAATACGAGAATCCACGATGTAGAAAATCAAAATCCGTCGGAAAGAAAGAAAGAAAGTTTAACGCGCTTGGACGACGTCGATAGGTACATTAATAATAATTCGCAACAACTTTCATGCCAACTTTTAACAATGGAATTATTATTTGCTAAGCAATATTTATTCTCGATTTCATTGATTACGAGCAATTTAAAGAAAATCTCAATTGCTATTTGGTACTGAGATGCTGGTAAGAAGCGATTGCGCGTATTTAACGTTATAAACACGTATTGTCGTCGAGGACTTGATCAATCCGGTTGCGGTGTGCTTAAGTAAATTTTCTTCCACGATAACTAGACCTTTTGTAAATTGCTATTCCAGCGTCCGCCGATCTAATCCCACATTCAAACTGATACTAAATAAAGCGTATCTTATAAATAATAAATGTGAAGTTTCATCCTCGTCTAATGTCAGTCGATCGTTAATAATAATAGGAGCAATTACACGTCAAGTATTACCGTTTCCACCTTTTTGTTATTGCAAGTTAATTTTAAATAATCGCCACCTCTTAATTTCCCGTCACAGACAATCAATCTAATCGCAACTATTTCATATAAAAACGTACGGGGAATAATGATTGTTTAAAAGCAAATTTATCGACTCATTAGCGGCATAAAATTTTCCTTATGGACATTAAAGTGTAGCCTTTTTCTAAACGTCACTTTGTTATTTATAAGCTTTCGTAAATCGCATAGGTTTTTGGTGGGCGGATGGGAGAGGATGGGAGAGGAATGACGACAAGTTTCAAAAGTTTATCAAATGCGGCTCTCGACTCCTCATCGTAGGTAAAACTTGTCGGTTTAACAGCGGAAATCGTCCTCGGGCATCCGCTTGATTTTGCCGAACGAAGCTTTTCCTCGATCCGGCTGTCTTTGGTCTCTCGCGAGACAGTGATGACAATGCTGAGTCCCAAGCATGCCCTCGCGGTCATTAATTTTCCCAAATTATTCGAAAGTCGTACTTGACGTAGCGACTTGACCTACAGCCGCTATCGAACACGCAAAATTAATCGGACTCACCGAATATTATACGTAACCCAACGTACCTTTTCAACTGTCACGAGTAAAAAATATGTCCGTTAGTGCAGATTTTTTTTCTTTCCACTAAAATAATGAGGACTCGTGTCTTACCGGGACAATACAAACTGCAATTTACAAATCCGCCCAATAGCATTTTATCACGACATGTGTCGGTTACATCTATCTAATCCGCTTAAACAGATATTTTCTCGTTTATTATTATTATTTTGTTGCTCGCGTACCGTAGCGGATCGCATCGCAATTACTGTGAATTCCGTCAGAATAGTGAGATACAGTTGTGCGAATACTTTGTCTTTGGACACATGAATGAGTTGTCTCGTCGACGTTCTCGTTTCATAATTCAAATATTTTCCATGACTGTGCGTTTCTCTCGTAAAGCCGAAAAACAGCGTATTTTGAGCTTTCCGACGCCAATGCGAGCGACCAAGCCAAGATGCGCGCTATAAATTGCATTTCATTCGCATTAGAATAATGTGGGTTTTGGACAGTGTTTCGCAGCGAAAGTAGGAACATTATATTGTGAAAGCATAGAGTCATAAATTACTTTATAGGCTACTAAAGCATCGGGGGTCTTGTTTATTTCATTGTGATGTGAGGTTGAAATTTTCATACGCGTAGTGATAATTGCCTTTAGTCGTTAAGACGCTCATATTAATTATGGGATGTTTATATTTAAATGCGCATAAATTTTGCAAAATGATACACGGAGTAATTTTGAGGAGCGTCTTACATTGCTAAATATAATTTTCTAATACGTGAAATTTTATGAGTATATAGTTGATAGGTTAGAGGCACTTTGAAAAATAACATTGTTATAAGCAATTAATTCTAGTAGAATCTTATCCTGGTTTGTACACTAATTTGTCTATATTTAATAGCGAAATTTTTAATGGAGAAACGGAACATACATTTTTCTTTTTAGCACTTACGGTTATAAATCATTAAAATTAAATTTTTTATGAACACTCGTGAACGCAATATTACAGACGTTATATTTTATTCAACAATATTTGATATTTTTCCATTCGTACGACAAATAATCTTCATAGTTACAATAAATATTGAAATGTTTGATGTTTGTTCAATTGTAGTAACCCTAAGTAGCTATTTTAATGACCGATCCTTTGGAACTCCATAATGGAAAAACGAATAAAAATAAATTAAAGTAGAAATTTTCGAATCGTGAATCATTTATTTATAATTGAAAAGTCTTTATTGTCTTAAAAAATATTATAACAATCGATAAGTAATTTCCAAGTAATTTCAAAGTAATAAGTAATTAATGTAGCTATCGAACCGTAAGCAAAAATTAGAATTAAATTTTTAATAATACGCATATATAGTACACAGGGACTTTCTCACAATCGATAAATATATTGATGGATATGAAAATAATTTTTTTTTTTTTTTTTTTTTTTTTAAAAAAAATATTAGAAGAATTATGGCTTATTTCCATTGAATTAACTAATCGACAATTTAAAGTTTAAAGAATAATGTAATTTTACGACCAAATATAATATAGTGATTTAGTTATTAATATATTTGGTTGTAAAGCATCAATTGAAATAATGGGGACTGTTTCTGTCGCAATTGTAGGTATGAATTTCTAAAGACGGGCAAGAAGAGATTCCTGTCGGATGGCCTTAACAATCTCCAATACGAGGTTTTGGTGAAAAAGAAGCCCAAGCTCTACACTTGGTTTCTCGTTCATCTGACGCCACCCACACAGCCCAGCTGATGGCTACCATGGATCGTCGGGTAAACTCGCGGAAAATTCGACGTCGTTTTAAGTGAGTCCCGATCGATCCAATTGTAGAGAAATTCTACATACGAGTCTGCTGAAACAGAAGAACAGCAACAAAACAAAACAAAACAAAATAAAATAAATAAATAAATAAATAAGCTAAACAAGAGGAAATAAACGAAGACGAGGATGGCGAGAGTGGCCGGAAATACGATGAAAATTATGTAGGAGGGATGATTTTGAGGGAGGCCCTCAAAAATGTAATTACAGAGCCTTTCGCCTTTTTTACTTCATGGTGCTATAACTTACTTGCAAGTTATCCCACTATTACGACTCCTCGAATAAATAATCCAAGCAGCGATGCATTTTTGTTCTCGGCGTACATACATACCTTTTTTTCTTCCATTCCTAAGTTTTGTTTCTCTTAAGTTGTTATTGTTATTGTAAACATTGTTTTGTTTCTCTCTCTCTCTCTCTCTCTCTCTCTCTATCTCTTTCTTCTTCTTTTTTTCTTTCGCCTAATAATATTATAGCGATAATCTTAATTAAGGACAAGATTATGTAATGAAAACAACGACTTTAGCTATATGATGAGTCTGTATGATAGATATAAAGTAAAAAAAGGAAGTACCGTGCCAAAACCGTAGGTAAGAATCTTCATTGTCTCTTAATAGAGGGGAGATGTAAAATAAAAATCGAGTGCTTTCAAATTAATAGTCGCGAGGCTTTGCTTCCCGGCGATTTCGTCCTCAATTGTATAGCCAGCCATATTAGCGTACATTCCCCATTCCGCGAGCAGTAGGGCGTCTTTGCTCGAGCTTGGTAGATTTTTTTGTTCAGCGAGCTCCTAACGCAAAAACACTGAAAACGGGGAATGGCAAAAGTAGTGACGACGAGATGTTTGGGAGGAGGTGGGTGGGTGGGTTTGGGGTGGGATGGGGGGGGGGGGGGGGGGCGGTGCTTTGGGTGATTTAAGTATTGAGAAGGGGAGGGCACGCTCAAAGCGGTCGGAAGCCCCGCGTAAACGGCCAAATGCGTGCTTCGATAAATGAAGGCATACGCGCTCACACTCAATGTAGGCCGCTTTTGCCGGCTATTATCGGTGCTGTGATTGTGGTGATGAAGCTCGATGAGAGCGAACGTACTGTATTGCGATCGAAGCGTATTGTAAACGAATTGATTTTACATCATTTTTCAACGGAGATTTGTTATGTTTTGTGCGCGGCTGTGCGACACGACCATTGTGTTCCCGTACAACTTCTGCCACGATATGTTGATTTTTGCATAAAACGAAAACGAACCAATTCTTGTAAAATGTCAATGTTTAATAAAAATTATAAGAATTAAAGTAATGATCCAAATTATTGTCTAATTATTCTCTTCGTTGGATAAATGAGTATCTGACGTGTGCTATTTATTTATTAATCATGGAAATAAATCAATTCTCTTGTTTTCATTATCTCAATTGTTCGCAAAAGATTTTCTTTATTGTTGGTAATTTTTTTGTTGTTGTTGAATAAGAGTCGATCACGAATAATTTATATGTTGATGCGTTGAATCTTATTCGATTACGCATTAATAAGCGTTGGACACATCGAATGTTTCTATCGAAGTTGTTACTTTTGGATTTTACGGGACGCATGTATCATCGTACTTTCATAATACACAAAAATTCTCTAAAGTTACAAAACTCGTCAACATTTGGTGTTGTTCTCCATTATTTATATTATTATTATTATTATTATTATTATTATTATTATTATTATTATTATTGTTATTGTTATTGTTATCATTATTATTATCATTATCATTATCATGATTATCATTATCATTATCAGTATAATCATTATTATGAAAAAGCAGTAATACAGCTGCATATTTAGATCACAATTTTAAAAGAATAAAAAATTAAAATCAATTACAGGAAGAATGTATAGATTCAAAGACGTTATGAAAGAAAAATGAAATCGTATAATTATGTTAAGTTAAAATATTTAAGTGGCTTAATGATGACAAAAAATATATTTAGGTAATTACGCAACTAGCGGTATAATCATTACTTTATTATATCGAGTGTTACAAAAGCTTGATTATTTGGATCGGACTGTAGCGATATATTCACATAACTATCGTCGTGAAAAATAAAAATTTAACGCTCGCATCGTTTATATTTTGCTCATTCTTCCTTAATCGCAGTTAACTACCGTATACACAATCACGCCCACAAACACGTATTCACTCACTTATGCACGTACACGAGCGTGCACAATTATAATATTCAATTTATGCAGCGCATTTCAAATGTCGCGCTATACGATTTGTATTATTTCGCATTTTTTAAAGGTATCTTGCACTTAAATTTTTTATTTTTTTATTTCTCTCTGCAATCCCTTCTCACTTTCTCTCTCTCTCTCTCTCTCTCTTTAAATCCGCTTAACTACATAGTTACTTTATATTGCTAACTATTTATCTACCTGTTTGGCTATATGCTAAATACACTTAATTACTGCAAAGTAATATTGCAATGTCTATTTCAATTCATAACATTATCTAGTAAAATTAAGTTTTTGAATTACATATATATATATATATATATATATATATATATGTGCATATTTATGTGTAAACACATAGACATATATTTACAAATGTGGAATTGTAATGGCAGTTGATGGTACACGAATGTCGTGTCTCAACACTGCTGACTATATTTTCTTTTTTCGAGTGATAGCTCTGAAAACCTCGTTTATAATTAAACTTCAATTCACAATAAAACATATTAATTCATGGCACTAGACAAAAACCCATATCTTTCATTTTTCAAACGTTTCTTATGAAATTTTTTTTCACTCCTGTATTTTATGAGATAGAATGAATTAAGAATAAAAATGAGAGTGAGTGCATGTGAGTGCGTACGTGATACAGAGAGACAGAGAGACAGAGAGACAGAGATATAGATAGATAGCTAGATAGATAGATAGATAGAGAGACATAAAGCAAGAGGATGGGAAGATGACGGGAGGGGAGGAGAAAGATATTGAATGTAATAAGTAGAGAATAGGTGTAGTAAGAATAGTAGGTGTGTGCGAGGGAGGGGGGGCACAGAGAGAGAGAGAGAGAGAGAGAGAGAGAGAGAGAGAGAGAAAGAGACGAAAACGGTAAGAAAGTAGAGCTTAAATTATTTTTCTACGAAGACACAAGAAAAATTTGAAATAACTATATAGAACCACGACGATATGCAGAGACTAGACACTCTCAACGAGTATATTTTTCTGCTTGATTACGATTCTGATTTGCGCGTAGCAAGTTGCCGACATTATTATGGAGTCTTCATAATAGTTACATCTTTTCATCGCTCATTTTTTTTCCCCCTTTCTTTATTTTCTGGTATAGAACAACTCTGAAAACGCGCGCAGATCCAGTAGAATTCGGCCAACTTACGACGTAAAATGCAATTCAACCATCACATCTACACGCGCCAGCCGACTCTTTTTACTATTTTAATGTACTTGGACGTAGGTTTATCGAAAACACTCGCTTGTATAAAAATACAGGGTGTTTCATTATTAATTCTTATCTGTTTCATAATCATTTTTTTTTTTTGCAATTAATTAATTAATTTATTTATTATTATTATTTCAGTTGAGCCTACGGTCTCCGTTATTATAAAAATCGGAGTAAATCAGCTTTATGCTGGTGCATAATTATTACTCGTGTCATTCTCAAATTATTTACATTGTTCGCTTCGCGATACAGGAGCTTACAATATTTTATTAGCTGTACTTTTATCATTTCCCATAATCATTCTCGAAGTAAGTTATTATGTAGCAGTGGTAATGGTAATTTGAGTAGTAATTAGCGATAAACGATAATTGTTATACAATGTGAGATTGCATGGCTTAGTTGAAGTAAAAGTCTTTGATTTTCATTTAAAATTGAGATCTGTATCATTGGTAAGTAACCCAAAGGTGTTTTCTCATTTGCCATCTATAGTAATACGGAGATTTTAAGTTTGAAAATAAGTGCTTCCTGGACAACGAACGACGAATCGTCGAAGAAAAATGCATTATATCTCAAATGAATCATGTCTAGAGCGAAACAGTATAAATATAGACACGCGCGTACACTCGCACGCACATTATATATTATATATATATATATATATATATATATATATATATACGCACGCGCGTGTTTGTGTATGATAACATATACAAAGTGACACATATATGCGATGAGATCTTTCGATGGTAGGACTATAGCTTAGAAATTGTGAATCCAATGGGCGCTTTCCTCATTCTCATTTCACCACCATCGATCATCACACGGATGTGCAGAGAATTGCATGCTAATGCACGGGGGAGGGGAGCACCGATGGCAACGGTGGCAATGCTCAACAGGGGCTAGCGAATGTCATGTAGACATCGCGAAGAGGACGTCCGCGCGACTCGCGGCGTTAAAAATTATCGCCGCCAATGCGATCTATCCTCCCCTTAACCGCGCCATCGTCTGTCTCCCTTTAAAACTGTACACGCGAAGCGGACAAAGAGTCGCGAACACACATAACGATTACGGGTTTGTCCAAGTGACTCCTTAAACATTACGTGGGACTGGTAATTTTGCATAATATAAGGGCGCCGGGTCGTGTGGCCGAGGAGCGAGAGGACATGGTGTTACTCGGTGCCAGTAGGGATTTTGTCTCAGCGGCCGATTGCCTACCGGGAGCCGGCCGTGTCAGGTGACTGAGAGGCCGAGGCGGCATTGTGGCTTGTCTCGTACTCCATTACCTCCTGGTAGATGAGCTTCTTCCATTGGTCGACAGTGTGTTCCCGTTCGTCGACGCTGTGGTCGTAAGGACCCGGGGCCGGCTGAAAGTATGGAAGCACACGAAAGCTTTCATTCGGCTCAACTTTGCTATCGCCAGCATTTTCATAACCAATGTGCATTATCGTAGGAAACGCAGTCGCATTTCGGGGCAAATTGTCGTAAGCGAGTGGTCGATTATTTGAAAGTCTAATGGACTTATAATGGATGAATGATTATTTTGGCTTTTCGCGACTTATCATATTGTCCGTTCGTTTATACCTTCATACGTATAATGTTAAATTATAAGTTAAAAAATTCTTTGGACAAGAGTTTTGCGCGTAAAAAGTCGAGCGATCGTGCAAGCTGCCTACCAGCGCTACTTTCGTCAAACAATCGCGTATACTCTCGACTTATGGATTGGCCGTGTTCGTGCCACGGCAATGAAATTTGAAACTTTCGATGATTCGCGTACATTCGCGTGAACGAGAAAGGACGATCGTGCAAATAGGATGTACGTTT